TAATTAAGGATTAAGGGACCAAGTCAAGAGGTTTAGGTGAGGGCAGCTAAAGAGCTGCTGTACAGGCTGTGCCAGTGATCTCTGCCCAGTCTATGGCCCTGAGTCAGCCTCAATCTACCATGTGGGAGGCCTAAGAACATTCAATATGACTTGGAAGACGGGCTTTAAAACAAATAGTCTGCCTTTCCTCTTGTTTCCAGCTCTCCAGCATGAAAAACTGATGCTACAAAGGGCTAGGCAAAATGGAATGTGTGTGGTTCTGAGCTCAGTCCAAAGGGCCATCCTCTACTGAAAGTCTCACTTCCCAGGAGAGAGGATGCCACAATGTGAAGGTTGTCACACTCAAGGTTTTCTCTCCAAGCCTCACCTCCTCTATTAAATCTGTCCCCCGACTCCTCTTTAGGTAGAACTGACCTGCTGTCTGCCCTGAATACATATACCACAGATGAATTCTCTCCTGACACCTCGAGTGCCATGATGCCCTGCAAACTCACCTGCTTCCTCCTCCAGCCCCAAACCTCCCTGAGGGTAGACGCTGTGCCTCCCATGTTCCTAGGGTCTTCCTAGCCTGAACACTATGATTTTGCTCTCTGAAAATGTTAGACAAATACTTTTCTCTCCTAATTTCATCAGCTTTACATTCAGAAACAGGTTTACAGTCACAAGAGTTGTAACCTGAGCTCCAGAGGGCTGAATCCAGTCCATCCATAGGGCTACTACCATAGGGCTGTGAATCCAGTCCATCCATAGGGTCCTACAAATCATAGGACCCTGCCAACCATAGGGCCACCAGTGTTGTAGATTTATCACCCATTTCCAGGACAGTAAAATGCCTTGTTTTTAAAAAGAAATAGTAAGACGATTTTCTAAAAGAAGGAAATAAAATGAGAAAGAAACACATTTTTTCTAACTGGCACAAAAGCTCTGTATAGGCTAGTCATGGCCCTATCCATATACAGTTTTTAGCTGGTCAATATAACTTTAAAAATTGAATCAAAATGACTTTAGGCAGGGACATGCTCTCCACCTTGTCAATCCCCACCACTCCCTATGGTCTTATACTCTTAACCTCTGTTATATTTATTTACCACCTAGCCCCAGAAGGCTTATAAGTTTGCAACCCTGCAACATGATATGAAATCTCATAAAGCAATCTCTTCCATCTTTGGGAAGCAAATGTTTTCAAGGTTCTTTATTAGGCTGAATGGAAATCTTCCCAAAGCCTCTGTCTACCCCTCTTATTTCTGGGGTACTCTAGGTCCTATAGTACAAACATAATGTTTTTCTAAAGCACACTCTCTTACTTATTTGAAGACTATCAGCAGAGTCTGTGTGAGGCCTTCTCTTTTCCATATTAAACATACTGTCTTCCTTCAACTATTTCCTCACATTGAATTCCTTCACTGTAATCCGAATGTGACTTATTATCCCCTTTTTAAAGAGGGGCATCCATACAGTCATGGTCTAATCCCTTGCAATTCAGAGTGTAATCCAAAAGCCAGTAGCATTTGCATCACTTGGGAGCCTGTTACAAATGCACAACCTCAGACCCACCCCACACCTACTGAATCAAGATCCACAGGGGATTCATATGCACACACCTAATTAATGCAGGCTAAGATTATGCTAGCTTGTGAGAGTAACTGTGTTACACTGTCATCCCTGTTTCCTGTTATTTGAAATTCCTGTTTTTTTCCCACACTCACTGCTAAGTTACATCTTGTATTAGTTTGATTGCAGTATGTGACAATCAGATTACATTTTGATGAGTTACCCACATGCTTAGACTATGAATTTGTGGGCAAAACACAGATCATATTCATCTCTATTTTGGGTACCAAGCAAAGGCCCTAGTACATAATAGGTGTCAAAATAAGAAGTAACCAAAAAATAAAATAACACTGGTCTAAATGATTAAAAAAAAATAATAATAACTCTCTACGGAACAGTTCAAGGCATGGCTGGATCCAGGGCTCAAAGATGGTGACAGGGACTTGGATCATCGCCGCTTTCCACCTCTGCTTTCTTGGCATCAGCACCATCCTTGGTCCAGCTCTCCCTTGTGGCCTCAAGATGGCTGCCAGTGTCACTCAGAGCCACACCCTTTCTCATTCCAGTCCAGCTGGCAAAGAGTCTTCTGAAAACTTACGGGGGTAAATATTTCTTTATTCTTTCCTTTTCCAGAAACCTTAGCAAATGTCTCCTCCAATTTCATTAGCGATGATGGAGTTATCAGTTCATTTCAGAGCCGACTACTGGGGCGAGGGGGTTTAATATCCTAATGGGTTTATTTCAGTGAGGACCCACTCATGAGGAGCTAGAAGCAGTTGAAAATTGAGGGGAGGGCTCTATCAGGAAATTAGGAAAATGTTTGAAGAGGCGACATGTGTGCTGGGGAGGTGACCCATGGATTCTACCATAATGTTAAACAGGTCTGCATTTCAGTTTCTTTTAAATCTTGCAACTGTTGTTCAGGATATCCAAGATTACAGCAACCACTAGCACAGGTTATGGCCAGAAAACTCTTCTATTTTTAAACGACACACAAACTCTTCTGCGCCATCACATTGTTTCAGTGATCAACTTTAAAGGGCCCTGGCTTACCTCCTCCTGGAATAATAGAGGAGTCACAGGAGTGCTGTGGGCCACTCCAAAAACCACTCCAGAGTGGTTCGCCACACATAATAGAGGGTGCACTTGAAAGGCAGCATCCAATGACCAGTTCTGGTTGAAGACTTTTGTGTTTTTCAAAAGCCCAATAAGCAGCAGAAGTGACCACAATGTGTTTGAAACTCTATAGCATGTGTCTTCAGGAGACAAAGTACCTAAAACTAGATGGAAAGACTTGTAATTTTTTAAATTAAAAACTATAGACAGGAGAGGTAACAAAGTAAAATAAGCATGAATCCTACATTTCTGTTTCAAAAATAAAACCAGAGGTATGGGGAAAATTGTAATATGGAATTCAGAAATCCGCTTTGGCCATATGCTGTACTGCATCTGCTTTCCTTGAGGCAAAAGGCTCTCAAGGACCAGTCATGCTCAGCTGGGAGAGACATAACGCCAATGAGACTGAAGGCGGGCAAGAGGGTACAGAGGGGAAACTGCTGTTTCATCTGAGTCATCAGAGGGCAAACTTCCCACCACCAGCCCCTGTGGACACATGCTACTGGTCAAGGTAGTCAGGCAGATGGACCACACAGGCCCATCGCCACTTCTCAAAAGAACAGCTTAAACTAAGACCTATTTAACTCTCAGGAAGGGCATGAGTTATGTGACCTTCACAAATGGAAGGCAGCCTAAAACCAGTACCAGCATAGTCCATTCTGTCACAGAAACATTTTGTGTAGCCCCCGGCTCTACCCCTTATTGAAGGAAGGCCTTTTGTATAATCACTTAGTCTCAGCTTAGGTTTCCTCTATGAGAGGAGGCAATAATTCCCATCTCACAGATAGATGTGAAAATAAAACAGTCCATGTAACAAATGCCTAGAAATGTCCAGGCCAAAGAACGCCTACTAACATCATTTTCTTCCCTGGCCCCTGCTCAGTTCCACGCAGTGCTCTAAGTTTATAAACACACCACTAAAAAAATTTGGTCTCGTAGACCTTCATACATATGTCTTAAGTCATACTTTATCGTACTGCAGTAATTGTATTGGGAGGAAAAAAATTTTTTTTAAATCCTTCGGTTTTCACATAGATGGAGGTGAAATCAACACAAAATGACCAAACAGACCATGGCCTCACCTTTTACTAAATGTAAAGCCTTGGGCAAGTTTAGTTTAATAGAAGGCTTCAATCAATCACAGCTTTTAAAATAGCAGCAACAACAAACATCCCTCCCACTAGACTGTAAAGTCCTGAGGGTTGAGAGCTAATTTGTTCAACTTTATATTCTATTAACATCCCTAGTCAACTGGCCCGCACATATCAGGAAGATAAGCTGCAGTGGCTTGAAGGGTTTATCACTTGAAGGGTCTAAAAGTCTGCCCAATTATAAAATGAAAAATATAAAAATCAAAGTAGAAAGAGGCTGCACCCACTAAGAAGTAGAGTTTTCAAAATCTTTTTTTAATTAATTTTTTTTTAATTTCTCGGCCTAGAGACAGATCTACCAAGTCTAGCTCTATGATTTCATGATTTCTGGCAAGTTACTTTTTCTGTCCACACTTCAGTTTCCTTAGCCACATAAGGAAGTGAACAAAGTTTTCCAAAATCCCTTACACCTCTAAAATTAGGTATCCAAATTTCTACAAACACTTGTGGCAAATCCATGACAAAGGCATGCTGCCAGGCACTGTAAGAGACATGAGAGAGAAGAGACCAGAGCTACCCTTCAATGAGCTCATGGATTATTAAACAATAAAAAACAGGGGCACAAATAGCAGTGATTCAAGGCAGAAAGGGGCAGTGGCTATCAGAGAGGTAGTGATGTGGAACTGTGAGCTGTGGAGACAAGGACTGGCTTTGTGGAGGGGTGGCTTTTGTTCATGCTTCAATGTAGCAAATATGGAGCACCAGTCATGCCAGGCATTGTATCTTAGCACACATACACAAAAAAACCACACACACACAAAAACCACACAACTATGACCAAGACAAACAGAATCCTGCTCTCACAGTGCCTAAAGGTTGGCTGGCAGGAGGCAGACATTTGGAGGAGGAGGAATTCCCAGCAGAGGGACCTGTGGAGCAAAAACAGGAAAGCAGAGCATCACAAAGCGAATAGGAATGAGTCCATAGCTGTGTTTGCAGAGGAGTGATGATGGTACAGTGGAGTGGCATGAGAAAAGGTAGAAAGGTAGGAGGCAGCTGATGTGAAGTCCCTGAAATGCCAAGCTATGGAGTATGGATTTTAATTGGTCCAACAAAATAACCTAACAATTCTAAATGACTGACTATACATTAAACTTCCCAGAATCACTAATTTTGTATCCAAATACACACTGCCTTTCTGTAACAAAAAGGAAGACGTTTGAAAGAAAATTGCCAAAAGAAGTAATTTAAATAAATTTATTCATGAAAGAAAAACATCTGAACATCAGGTACAGTCTGATCCACAATGTCGTAACTCATTTGCGGGAGTACTCTTATGCAGTTTGCAGGAGAAATTCCATGTGGAGCATCAGCTGAACATTTATCAAAATTCAGAAAGCCTTCAAACCTGAGTATTACACAATACATAACGACAATGATACAGTAATAAAAATACAATATCAAATACTCACTACTTTGTGAGTTACGAACTACAATATAAACAATTTAGGCCCTTTTTTAAAAAATGAAAAAATATTTCTATTACAGCCTTATTTCCAGCATTTTCAGTTAGATACAGCTTTATATACTTTTAGTCACAATAGATAGCTAAAGAATGTCTTCGTAAGTATCTGTAGGTAAAATATATTACTTGCTTAATGTTTGCACTCTGAAGTATACTTTGACACATACAGGTTCCGATAAGAGAATGAAATTGCTGTGGCAAAATCCTGGCTGATGATCAAGACTTGGATAGTTTTCATATTAAGTTAAAAAAATTTACATCACTGAAAAAAGAAGCAAGGACATACAAAGAAGCAACATCATTCTTTTGCAACGAAGCAGTCTAAGTCCAGGGAATGAGTTTTCCATTTTGAATTCAAAGTGTGTGGTCCCAAAGTTGAATTCTTTCAAATCCAAGGAGCGGCCTGCCACTGTGAGGCAACAGCAATGATGAAGCAAGTTGGGAGGAAAATGTTAACTGAACTACAGAGATGGTCACTGATAAAACAAGTTCCTAGAAGTCCTCAGGCCCACCCAGAGGTGAAGGGCAGCCAGAACTATCAACACAAAAGAAAAATGCGCTCACTGAACTGCACACATAGAGCTTCTAGGAGGGTTAACAGTTCTTGACATAGGTTCCTGGTTGTAGTTTACAATATCTGCCTTCACCACCCTCTGTCATAAAAGAAAACAGAGTTATTATCAGGACATCAGAACATTTAGAAAGAGCTCCTTAAAGTATATTTTTATTTTCTGAACTCTGCTGAGCTTCTGATGATGGACACCACAAATGAAGCAGGAGTTGATATTAAAAGAATAAGCCAGACAAACAAATGAAAAGTGTTTTTTGTTTTTTTGTTTTCAAGAAGAGAATGGCAACTCAGCTATGGAGTTGTCCCTGGTTTTATGACATTTAACTTGAGGTTATCATAAGTCTAACGAAAAACTGACAAATCAATAAGGAAAAATTAAACCCTGATAATAATTTAGAGCAAAATAATTTAAATGAATCATTCACATGTATTTTAAATCATAGAAAAGAACTCATCATTTCAAAGTAACAAATAACATTATTGATTAATATTTCCATAAGACATTATATTTAGCGATACCTTTTCATTGAATGTTTACAGCAGTTTGAGTTCGTAAGAAGACATTTAAATGTTAAAGAGGATTCACATATAAAGCAGAAACATTCTGAGCAACCCATTTTTAAATCTTTTCCAATTTCTAAAACTTTCCTCCAAAATCCCTAACTTATTTCCAAATGGCTCACTATTGGTTATGAATATAACTGTAACAAAATACAGTATAATGAAAAATTTAGAAAATTACTTCATATTCGTTTGTAAAATAATTTAAACCAAAAGATACTTTTAACTCTTCCTTCCTTCCCTCTAACACACACTTCAAGGAATATCTAAAATGATACATTTAGCAATATGCTTAATATTCATCTCTAAGTAATACTTTAAAACAAATCCTTTACTGTTTTCAACTCTACAAAGTCTGCACACACAAGCAGACAAAGAAGGGCAATTCAAGGCAAATTTTAAAAATACTCTTTCAATTACCAAGCTATTTCAGGAAAAATGGTAAGGAATGAATAATGAAATAACTGCCTCAATTCTCCACTTCACTGCACATGTAATAAACACAACCATAAAGACAAATATGTTTAAAAGTAACTGCAATGTTATTTTAATTTGTTCCCAATTTCTTAATTCATGTCTCCTGGCAGAGAACCAATTTTTTAGTTCTAAATCAAGACTTAGACGCGTTATTAATTTCCAATAATGTACAATAATCATCTGAACTTCCCTATTCATAAGGAATAAAGAACAAGATAGCATTCACTGTTTTTCCCTTCCCACCTCCCCAAACTGTAATAATTTATCCCTTAATACCTGCACTACTGTATTGAACAGATTCTACTCTGAGCAGAGCTGGTATGTTGATTATCTTCTTCCGGGTACTTCACTATTTCTGCCCTGACAATATGCTGTCAATTCCATACAACATAAATGAGACAAAAAATAAAGAATTAAAAAAAAAAAAAGACAAAATGGAAAGTATGTTCAATGACTGAATATAGAACGAAACACCAAAGCAGAAACATAAAATTAACATATAAATGTAAACATGTCTCTCTCTCTCATACACACACACACACACAAACAAACAGCAGAATGTACATATACAAAAGAAAAGGAAAGGAACAAAGGCCCAAGAAACATTATTCTTTGTAATTCTATTTAATTACTGAAATAGATATGACCACTAAACTTCCCAAATTGTGAGTTCCATTTTTGATAACACAATTATATATAACATATATAATGCCCAGAATTTCAGAAGACTATGAAGAATTATGAGGTTTTTCTATGTTAAAGTGCAATAAAAGGATTAATTCAATTTCCATTAACAAGATTTACTGAAGATATACTACGTGCCAGTCACGCTATACTGTGAATGTATGGGCGACTTACACAGAATCTATTCACAAGTTGCTGAGGACCCAATGGAAAGAGAAACATATATACAACTAATTGCCATACAAGTTAAACACTTAACTAGTGGACTTATAATATGCTGTGGGAACACAGAGGAAGGAGTAATTAATTTCTTTGAATGTGGGGAGAGGAATGAAGACATCAGAGGAAGCCATATGCCATTTACAATTTTTATATTTAATACCATTTATTACTTGTCCTAGACTTCCTTGTGATGCTCACTCCCCCATTCCTCCCAATCCTAACCTCCATACTTCCAAATTCCATACAGAAACAAACAAATTCAAAATGCAGTTGTAGGTCATGTAAAAAAAATTCACGAGGTACAATATTTAAGTACAACAACTGCTGCTTTCAAATATCTAAGAGTTTTACTAAATAAGAAACGATTTGTTTTTACCTTGTTATATTCGTAATTGCTATTACCTTAGGATAAAAAGACCACATGTGACAAATATGCATGACAGATATAACATGCTACCCAAATATTTTAGATTTAAAACTATCCTCGCTATCCATGTGATTGCAAATATCTTATTTCAGGACACTCATCCTTCATAATAGCATCTATTAATTTACTAAGATAGACAGAAAGGCATCTTAATATGAGCTTCTATCTGTGATTACATTTATAAATAAAGATTCTATAAACAATTGAGAGTAAATGAATAGGATGCTGAGGCATACGAACATATTAGCCTTGGGTGGCTTCTGCTTAAGTTCTCTAGCAACAAGCAGCATTAACTTTTGGACAAGACTCATGATTTACTAGGCACTCCGCCTGATGCTATCAACACAAGCATCTTCCTCGCAATTCAGTCTGAAGGACACAAGACAGGACTAAAAGGACTATGCTTTTTCTTTATCAATTATCTGCCAAATGAGGTATGAGTGGGGGGTACATCAGTGAAATATTGTATACCATTAGCTAACCTCCCCAAACCTAATTGTTTCATGCCAAACTATGGGTTACAATGAAGAGATGGGATTTTCATAATCAGTAAGCAACTCGTTAATCCAACAAAATGTTGGTTTAAGTCTTATCCTAGAAACACAACCAGATTACTGTCCTGTGCTCTAGACAATTTGGTCCAAGAACTGACTAACGTAAATGACTTGGATTTCATTATTAATTTTCATCAAATTAATGAAGAATTAACAAGGCAGCATCACTCTCAGGGGCTTTGACTCTTTGACATAAAGCTTTGTAAAGTGTTTCCGAACTGTAACCCATAACCAAGGCTCTGCAGATTCCAAATTTCACTTTCTATGATTAGAAAAACATAATTTCCATGTCATAAACTTCACGGTAGGTGGTTTCACTGTAGTCAGCTTATTTAAAAGTCATTTATTGATGTTTTTAGAGAAAATGTTACCTACAAAATACCAACCTTTATTTTTAGAGCCACAAAGTACACTCAATTATTCTCTGCTATTAGTTGATGAAATGAAAATAATGAAGTGGCCCTAAGAGGAAAAGAGTTACATGAGTGAACACAAGCTTAACCCTGATATTTTCAAAGAGCATTTGCCAAGTGGATACTGGAAATGGAAGCGGTAGCAATGGAGGGCATAAGCAAGAAAGCAACCTATGGGTTGGGGCACAAGGTGTAAGGAGTATAGACGGACTCTCGGAGAGATTAAACTAAAGATAAACTTGATCAACTGTGCAATTGCACCTTACTCCAGATAATAAGGAACATATTTACCACTGCAAAGACCATAGTTTGTCATGCCCAGGATATGGAGTAAACACACCCTGAAGGCTAAAACATTTGTCACTATCATTCATTCAAAGCCAACCACTGTCCCAGATATTGCAGACATTTAGGTAAATAATGCACAATCTCTGTTTCTTGAGATAATAAGAGTCTAGCATACAAAACAGATTTTAAACTATTACAGAATATTCTGACTGGTATACATTCAAAGTGCAACAAGATTACAGAATACAATTTAAAGTATGGATATAGGATACAACCTGTTAAAAAGTAAACCTACATGATCTCTAAAGTCCCATCTGGTTTTGAAATTTTACTTAAAAAATTAATTTAAAAGGTGAATAGGAAAGAGAAAAAATAGTATGTGATATGAAAATCCATTAAGCAACGTTCAATATCTGAGGGTTAGAGTAGTATGCACAAAATGAGAAAATATGCTCCTCAAGAAAACAAGTGGTCTTTAGGATAAGAAAGAAATCCCAGGACAGTTTTCATAAACATACTGGAGAAAATAATCATAAAAAATTAACACATGGGTAAGAAGAATCTGAGGAAGATCAATATTCAGGTAAAGCTAAAAAGCAGAAAGGACTCTTAATGGTTAAAAGGGTACTGTACAATAATATGCCAATTAAGATAATTAAAATCTTGAGTATGTCTATTACACGCCAAGCCCTACGTGAGATACTTTCAGATACAGTCTGAAAATAGTTTGAGGGGACAATAAGGAATATATATTTTTAGCAAGTTTAATGAATATCTCAGACATGATAGAAATTTTTTTTGGTATTTTAAAAACTAATACATTCCTAATTCAAATCAAGTAGATATTCATAGTTTATTAATTGGCAAGTAAAAATGTTGAGGCTTAAAAATGTATTAAGAACTCTTAACACCAAGTAGATATGGCAAAACTTCCTCGCAATTCAGTCTGAAGGACACAAGACAGGACTAAAAGGACTATGCTTTTTCTTTATCAATTATCTAATGCATTCTTAAAGAGCTGATGGCTGGATTTCCTAAACAACAGCAATTGTAAATTTATTTTTTCTCCCAAAAGTCTAGGCACTTTGCAAATAAAAAATCTGAAAAATCTGGGAAACTATAACACTTGTTAACAACAGTATCAATTCTTACAATATCTTAGAGGATAATGGTTGGTCGGGGAGAAAGGGGAAGACTACATAAATGATGCAAATGAAACTATTAACCAAATTGGGAATTGTGGAAAAGGGACCTATAGTGTTCACTGTTTAAATGTTTGGCTGCCGCACTTATTCCGGGAGCTCCTTGAGGATAGGGACTTTCTCTTATTCATTTCTGTATCCCCAGATTCTACTGTGGTCCCTGGCATTACACAGACCCTCAAAATATGTTTACTGTGTTAATAAATTGCATTCACTTTCTTTTCTCTCTCTTCCTTTTCCTAGCAAAGCTTACAAAGTGTGTTGATAACTCATTTTATATAACTCCCAAATAAGAGCAATCTAGGTTAGAAATAAACTAGCAGAATCTCTTTAAATAATCAGTGAATGGAACTAGGACTAAAACCTCATTGTAAACACTTATGTCGCAAAGTAAATTATTATAGTAGAGCATCAACATCAATGTGACTGGTGAGTCTGCCATTTAACTCCTTCTCTATAGAATAATATAAAGTACTTTCAAAGATTCCCTTGAATCCCCCCAGTAATCTTTCAAATGTCGCAAAAGCCACATGCAGTGTGTGTGTGTGTATATATGTATGTATGTCTGTGTGTGTGTATATATATGTGTGTGTATATATGTGTGTATGTATATATATGTGTGTGTGTGTGTATATATATAATCTGCACTTCCTAGTCTTTTAGATGAACTTGCAAAAATGTTTCCACTAAGAAATCTGAATTGTAAAATCAATAATTTAATTGGCAAAAACACCAAATTCATCAGGATCAAGAAAGACTAATGAGGCTTCTTGCTATATACAAAGAATTTTGACAAACATATAGAAGAGTGCTGCAGTAACTTGAATTCCCTTTCAAATGAATGCATTAAGAGTAAATGCCACCAACAAACTGAAGATAGAATTAAATCTCAAAGCATAATAAGCAAGGTTGATGTGCAGGGAGGGTAGAGAATTATGTAATTAACACATCTAATATCTCTTTATTTAAAATACGCCAGGATATTAAGCCCATATCCAAAGTCAAAATAGTAACTCTGTTGATCTTGCAACACGAGGGAGCTAATATTAATAAAGCTTTCCCCAAATTTTGCCTCCAGTTGTTTCATCTCTCCAGAGGTCTCCTTGTATCTGATCAGCGCTGCACAGCTCAGGCAGTACAAGGAATTCTTCCTCAGTGCGGCCCTCTCACCTGTGAAGCACCAGTCCACCATTCCCTCTTTCAGAAAAACCACAATCATTGGTTTCCCCTGTCCTCATTCCTCCAAGCAAGAAACCTCAGGGTTATTATCTTGGACTTCTATTCTCTCTTATCCAATAATTCCACAAGTCCTATCAGTTCCCTCTTTCCCTTCCACCTTGACTTTGGCCATTTTCACATGGTAGCAGTAACTCAGTCTCCTTACTTCAATCTCCCTCCTATCCAATGACATACAAAAATATCCCATTAGATTAATTCTATCTAAAAACTGCTTTCATTTATTGCCCTACCTCGAAATGATTATAGGTCAAATAAAATTAATCAACTTGGCATTCATAAATCCCCAAAATCTGTTCTCAAACTCTTTATACTCTGACACAAATGGTCATTTATTTTAACCAAACTGCTCTTCTGTTTCTAAAATACAACCTAAGCTTTTCTACCCAGGTATATTGTTGATATCAGCTCCTCTTTCAGCCATTTTTCTCCCTTCCCACTCCAAACTGCCCAGTACACTTTCCCCCAGTATAGTAGAGTGGAAACACCAAGGGTACTGGTGTCAGAGAGACCTGGGTGCAAATTCTGGCTCCACCAGTGCCCAACTAAGGGTTAGTGATCAAGTTACTGAATCTCTCCACAGTCTCAGCTTCCTGATCATAAAATGATAAAATTTTACCTGATCCAGGGAGTTATGAGGATTAACTGAGATAACACAGTCCCCCTGGCACATAACCTATTAATTTTCTTTACTGAAAGCAGGGACATTTTAAAGTCTTTTAATTCTTTTTTAGACCCACCACTATACTGAGTATACAACATATGACGAATAAATCACTTATGATAATCACAGACTGTCTAATTAAGCAGAGACAAACATTATTTAGACAGAGAAGCTAAAAAGCAAAGGAATTACTTGACCTCTGGGATCCAAGGTCTGTGTGATCATGCAAATCATGGTGACTTCTCTTTCTTATATTCTCCTAGATCCAAACCAAGTAACCACTTTTTATGTGTCTGGGAGCTATTTAAACATCACAAAGTATCTTAGCACTGTATCTGGCCATACCAAGTGCTAAATAAAACAAATGTCTTTGAATGATGGGAATTAAAATTAGCAAATGTTTAGCATTTCAAATATTTTAATCAAGTCCTAGAAACATCCACATCAGTATAACAATTTCAAATATTTGCTTCAATCATTTTAAAACACACACACACACACACACACACACAGAGGGACCATGAGAAAAAGATACAGAACTAACTCTAAAAGAATTAAAGAAAAATTTAAGGATGGGAAAAGATAATCAGATTTTTTTAGTTGCACAGGGTGAGAATGGGGTGGAAGAAATTGAGGAAAAATGTAATTAGTTTGTTACTTCTAACCAAACCACTTCTGAAGTATAACTTTTTAGGCGCTTGCTCTGATTTTTCATTCTATCAGACATATGAATTAGTGGGAAATTATAGTGGTACTTTAAAGTTCTTGGCTACTGATATGCATGTTTTTTTCTTAGTCTAACAGAACTATCTAGGAATAGTGAAAAAACTTAGAAATCCTTACTAATTAATAACACAACTAAACTGACAACAAAACAACATCAAAAACTAATATCATTACAGTCAAGGATGTTTTAAAATTGAATAGACGCTCCATAAGGATTTAATAAAGAAGTACCAAACAATGTGGTCAGCACCTAAACTCATTAGTTAACCACTAATAAATTTTTTTAATTTTTTTTATACCAGTATCTTTTTCCCAACAAAAGAGACAAAATGAGGTTTCAAGGGTATCATAATTTGGTAAAAAGTTAACATAAAAAGTTAACATTCTCCATCTTCTGCAATAAACACTGAGTCATACATACAATCTATTCCCAAAGCTTTTAGAGACACGTACACAGAAGGCATAAATGGGTAAGAATTTATGGGTGAAAATTAATGCCTTGTAAGAAATTCATTAATTTTTTAAACATAAAGTTCAAGGTAATCACCTGTGACTGTTCTATTTCCGCTTTGTTTAATTTGATCCCAAGGATTTCAGCAGCAACTTTCTGAAAGCACAGGAAGACCTACATAACAAAAATTGGTTTAAATTATATAAAAGAGTCATGCTTAAGTTATCTTTAAATAAACAGAATTTTTTAAAAAATGATAAACAGCAATAATTGCAAAAATATGATATAGCAGGTGATTCCAAAAATACCTTTGTCAAATGTAGCAACATTTTAAATATAATACTTTTTAAATTATTAAGCCATAATTCAAAACTCTATCCAATTCAATGAATTTTCTCTAAACACACACATTAAAGATTTAACATGATGATTACAGCTACCACTTTAAAAAACAACAAAACAATCTTACTTACTAGTATAAAAACTCCCATACTTACTGAAGAAAATAAAAATAATCTATACTTTACCACCCTACTTTTCATTGCCAATTTTATCTTGGTCCTTTTAGCCGCCTGTGGCCTATCTTAAAAGGTCTTACTTTCTAACACTTTAATACTCTCTGTGACTTTCACATCATTCCAACAAATTCTCCATGTATCTTGAGTAAAGCAACTTGGTACTATTTACTATATTTTATCAGTTCAAAGGAAAAATATATGCCATTACGATTAAACAAAAACAGACAAATATTTTTCTATAAATAGCCTTTCCACACATAGCTAGCTTATGTCAGGTCTACTATAATTACTAGAGTTCCAATCCTGACATTTAGTGTACTATAACTATCTTTTCTTCATAAATGTCCTACCATATTCTTATCCCTACTCATCACATGCTTACAGAATATTTATCAAAACTTTGTTCATTTTTATTTCTAACAAAAAATGGATACATATTTCTGATAGCCTTATGCCGTTTGTACCCTAAGAAGCATAATATATTTTAGTTCATTGATGGTCAATGTTCAAGGAACAATAGGAAAAGTACTGTGGTGGAGTGGAGAGAAAGAGTGGTTCTAAAAGAAGACGAGCAAAGAGATGAGGACTGCAAAGCATGTAGAATCTGGTAGGCTACTGGAAGGACTTTGACGTTTATTCCAAATGAATGGAAGGCATGGGAGGGTGGCCCAATGTGACTTTTATTTTAACAGCATTAGTCTGGTTGTTTGTATTAACATTCACTATAGGAGACCAAGTGTACAAAAAGAGAATCAGCAAAGACACTAATGTAAAAGATTATGGAGGCTGAACAAAAGTGGTAGGAGTGGACACAGTAAGAAATAGTCACCAGGTTCTGGATATATTTTCAAAGTATAGCCAATGGGATTTGGTGACAGATGTGGGGTATGAGAGAAAAAGAGGAGTCAAGAAAGGCTCCAAAATTTTTTTGGCCTGAGCAACTGGTAGATCTGCTATTTATTAAAGTGGGGAAGACTGTGAGAGATTTTAGGAGGGAATATCAAGAGCTCAGTTCTAAACATGTTACATTGGGCAGCCTATTAGACATCTAAGTGGAGATGCTGCACAGGCAGTTGGATGTAAGAGTCTAGAGTTCAGGGGAAAAGTCTGAGCAAAGCCAGAAGACTAAATAAAGCCATTATGGGAATACATGTAGAAAAAGATATCAAAGGACTGAACCTTAGTTGGTTGGAGAGGTAAGAAAATTAGTCAAGGGGACTGACAGAGTAGTTAGTGAAGTAGAAAAAAAAACCAGGAGGCATTGTATCCTGGAAGCTAAGTGCAGAGAGTATTTCAAAGAGGAGAGAGTGATCAGCAATTATTTATGTTGCTACTTAGTCAAGTAAGATGACGGCTGAGTACTGATCATTGGATTCAGCAAAAAGGAGGCCATTGATGACCTGGATAATAGCAGTTTGGGTAAAATATTGAGGGCAAAAGTCTGCTGGAACTAGAAGAGAAATTGGGAAAAGAAGAACTAGAGACAACTCTTTCAAAACATATACTGGAAAGTGAAGGAAGGAAATGAGGCAACAGCTAGAGAAAAAATGTGGCATCAAGAGCTTTCTTGTTTTTAAGATAAAAGAAGTCATAATATGTTGTATGCTGAAAGAATAATCCAGTAGATGGAAAAAAAACAAAACATATGAAACAGAACTGCTAAAGCAATATCCTTGATTCAGCAAAGATAAATGGGACTAGCACACAATGGAGAAGTTGGCCCTAGCTAGAATAGATCCCATAGTAACCACAGAGAAGACAGAAGATATGAGAACAGATGGGGTAAGTAGGATGAGGTTAGACCTGGTAGCATCAGTATGTAGAAGTTGTCTTCTGTTTGTTTCAAATTTCTTATAAAATAGGAAACAAGGTCATCAGCTGATAGAATAGAGGAGGATAGTTTGAACACTTCTGAAGAGAGAAGAGAAGCTATGAAATAGTCATTGACTGGGCACAGTGGCTCACGCCTGTAATCCCAACACTTTGGGAGGCTGAGGCAGGTGGATCACGAGGTCAGGAGTTCAAGATCAGCCTGGCCAGGATGGTGAAACCCCAGCTCTACTAAAAATACAAAAAATTAGCTGGGCGTGGTGGTGGGCACCTGTAATCCCAGCTACTTGGGAGGCTGAGGCAGAGAATTGGTTGAGCCCAGGAGGCGGAGGCTGCAGTTAGCTGAGATCACGCCACTGCACTCCAGCCCAGACGACAAAGTGATACTCTGTCTCAAAAAAAAAAAAAAAAAAAAAGTCACCTAGCTGAGGGAAGAGGTGGTAGACTAGGGATATAGGGCATAATTACTGAGCAGCATTAAGGGCCCACTTGAGATTAGGGATTGTGAACTTCAAGTGAAACCTCCAGCATACCTCTGTGCTTTTCTCTGGTCATGTTCATGAGCATACCCATGAAAAAGCAGAGGCTTGGTTTAAACCGGAATTAAGATTTAGCCAAGCAGGTCTGACAAAGTGAAAGAGGAAAAAGGGAATTGAGAGTATGTGCATGGCAATGAATTGGACTGGCCATGAGATTTAAGTTCAGAAGAGAGAAAAATGAAGATATGAAAGGAGGTTAAGATTTTGCAAAGGTGTTAGGATCAATGTCTTGTAGGTCTTGCTAGGGTTGAGAATGGTTGTGTTCGGACATTCAAGGATGTGAAACAGAAGATGGTTGGTGGTTAGTGATTAGGATGCCTGATACTGAGGTAATAGAAGAGCCACAGTAATTTGTAATGACGTGATCCGTGGTATGCGAGAGTGACTAAGGTGGAGTCAGGAAGAAACAAGGATACTGAAATCACTAAGAATTATGACATAGGTAATATCAGAGAAAGAATAGTAAGCCAGGAGCTCAACTCCTCAAACAATGAGAGGAAGTTACCTGGAGCTAGAGATGATTACAAGTCTTAAAGTAATTTCATAAGAACAAACCATTTCAAAGTATCACTTAAAAAAAAATGAAGTTTTTAAAGTTCAATATAAGCACACAAAAAACACTAAGTGGCAAAAAAATACTAAGTGGTTAAAAACAAGTGAAAATACTACAAGTTAAAATAATTCTGAAATAGCAAAAAGACCCCTGGGAAGATTAAGTGAGGGCAGAAGCCCAGTGAATCCATGGATGAATTTATCTACAGTTATTGACATTACATTTTTTTCAAAGGCATGGATGGGTGCATATGTGCCCATATTCACATTGTCTGAGGCGAAAGGATTCCAAGAGTCCAAATTTTTTAATGAGTCTTACCAAAAGAAAGATCAAACCCCAGTCATATTATTTAATATTTATTTTAGGTATAAAACTATAAAGGATATTACAGAGAAAAACATCAAAAATATTAAACCACAGAAAAATTTCAAACTTCTTTTAGTTGAAAAATGTCAACTGGAAAAATAGTCAAATGGGGGTCGGTGAGGATTATTTGAAAAAACTGTGACACATGACTATTAGCACTAACATAAAGATGGTCACAGAAAATTTCTAATGCAATAGAAAATTATAACAAGTAAAAAGCACAAAGTGAATAATAAAACTTTCAAAATTTCAACCTCAATTATAATCAAAGAAATTCAAATTTAAATAGTGAAGTATCTTTTTTCTTTTGGGGGGGCCTACCAATTTGACAAAGATTTTAAAATAAATACATAAATAAATCCTGAATGTTAAAAGGATGTAGTTATGGCAATCATACAATGCTGGTGATAGTATGAATTTAGTCTTTCTGCTGGTGATTTGGCAATATTTCAATCCCCTTTCAAGGAATCTTTCTACCTGAAGAAAATAACCAAAACATCAAAAACTTATGGACAAAATTTTACATTAGAACATTATGTTCAAAACTTAACAACCTGTATGTTCCACAATAAGAATAAGACTGAATAAATTTTTGAACATTTATTAAATGAATTATTCAATCTATTATTAAATGACATGGAAACAATAAAAATATGAAGTAAAAAGTAAAATATAAAATTATTTCTATATTATAATCGTAATTTTTAAAAATAAATACAGGCTTGTGGTTAAGACTGTAAGTCCCAGAGTGTCACCATTTGCCTTTACAAATCCTCTCTCCTCCACTTATTAGCTGTGTAATCTGGACCCCATTACATAATTTCTCTAAGACTCCTCTATAAAACGGAGATAATCAGAGTAGTACAATGTCTATAATAAAGTAAGCACTCAATGAATGCCATCTCCTAGCCACAGGCAACAGTACTAGTATGAGCATCAGGAAAGGAGACTAGATGGAATCATACGAGGTTATGAATGGTTACCTCTAGATAATGACATTATGGGTGGTTTATATTCATTTTAATTCCCTTTTTAAAAATAACCATAAAATTATGTTAAATAAATTATAAAAGTAATATAACCAGAATAAACATGTTATAACTAATCTAAGGAATTTCATGTTTTCAATAGGAATTAATTTGCTCCAAAGGTTAAATAATGGAAGCATACTTCCTAGGAATGTTAGTAAATAAAAGTAAAACATCACTTATAATATACAGTATTCATTATTTTACTTACGGAGTCTCCTGTCTTGGCTGAGACAAAGTGGCTACTAAAACCATTTTCCTGGCAAAACCGTAAGTGTTTTTCAGGTTTTATTGTTCTCATATGCTCCAAATCAACTAGAAAGGTGTTAAAGAGAGAAAACAATTCAATATTAGAGTCTATCAATACATTTTTAACATGCTTGACTTGCTTTCCAATATTATATTCCAGTTTAGACACTAGCTGTGCAAGCTTGGACAATTTATTAAACCTCTTTAGGACTGAGTTTCCACATCTATAAACTGGGAATAATAAATATACCTATTTTGTATAGAGTTATTTGATAATTAATCTATATATAATGCACAATGACCAGCAAATAAGTGCTAAAAAAAATGTGAGCTATCATTATTATTATCATCTGTATAAGTTCAGGCACACTGATGATGCGCAAAAAAGATCTACTTAATATAGTACATTTAAACATGGTGATTAATTGAAGGCAAGTTGTACTTACCCAATCATATTTGGCTTGAAACAGTTTAATTACTTTAATAATTAATAGTTAGCTCTGTAATCTCTATAAGTTTGAATGTTAGCACAAATACATAACTTTCTGCTTAAGAGATCAATATTACATTGGGTGTTTATATTAATTTATAGCCATAGTTTAATTTCACAAAGACGTAGTTCAGTTGTTTTCCATCTAGAGTATCCATTTTGAGAGTAAGGGGCAAGGATATATTTCCTTGAATAGTTGTAGGTGATTTAAAGCAAACCACAGTACTCACATGCAATACTGGTTTTATCCAGCACAGTCTATTTTTCCAAATGTGATCCTTTATTTAACAGTTTCTCTTTTTACAACACTACAGACCCTATAAGGGTGTTTATTCAATGCCGTCAAATTATAAGGCAAATATATTCACAGGATTTAAGGACAACTAGGCTCTTTGAGTCAATATAGGAAAAAAAAACCTTAAACTGATTTCCTGAGGAAGGGACCCAACTGACTTGTAAAAACTTGTAAATTTGCAAATCTAGTAAGCCTACATAATAGTGCCAATTGATTATCAACTAAAAAACGCACTCATACTACATAAAAGACTTTATTTAAAATTATATTGAAAGTCTTTAGTTTGTAGGCTCAAGGGTTTTCTCTCTAGGAGATTTTTTTTTTTTTTAATCTAATGGGGTATTCCTGAGCCCCATTTATATTGTTTACCTTGGAAAATACAGAATTTTTTTTTTTTTTTTTTGAGATGGAGTCTTGCACTGTCATGCAGGAGTGCAGTGGGGCGATCTCGGCTCACTGCAATCTCCGCCTCCCAGGTTGAAGCAATTCTCCTGCCTTGGCCTCCCGAGTAGCTGGGATTACAGGCGCCTGCCACCACGCCCAGCTAATTTTTTATATTTTTAGTAGAGATGGGGTTTCACTATGTTGGCCAGGCTGGTCTTGAATTCCTGACCTCAAATGATCCGCACACCTCGGCTTCCCAAAGCACTAGAATTACAGGCGTGAGACACCATGCCTGGTCTTTTTGGTTTTTTGGTTTGTTTGTTTGTTTGTTTGTTTTTTGCTTTTCTGGCCACAGTGCTATTCCTTAAACATCACTATCTCCTTATTTACAAGAACAGGCCAAGGAATGTCCAGATACCACAGGCATCAATTTGTGGAAGACTAAAATACTAAGCTATAAGCAATGACATTTACATATCCAATTTATGATAATATTGAAGCTAAAAAATTTTTCTAATTCAACAAGAGTAAGAACAAATCTTGTCGCCAGGAAAAATTCCCATTGAAGTCACCACCCATTTAAATCACCATCCAATAAATAAACAAACAAATAAATAAATAAATAAATAAATAAAAATAAAAGTTGTGTCACTTAATGTGTGTGTACATTTGTTTTTTCTAATGGTTTATTGTTTTTTCTTTCTCTTTCTCTCTCCTTCCTTCCAAATCTCCATGTATCACTTACTAATCAAACGAAAGTTTTTTTTCCTAACAAATATAACCATGGAAAGACTAGCACTACCATTGGTCAATTTTTTAAAAAAATGATTTATTCAACAAACATTTATTGAGCATCTATCATATCCCAGGTATTGTGGTAGGTAGTGATATGGTTTGGCTGTGTCCCCACCCAAATCTCATCTTGGGTGGCTGTGTCCCCATCCAAATCTCATCTGGAAATGTAGCTCCCATAATCCTCACAGGTCTTGGGAGAGATCTGGTGGGAGGTAACTGACTCATGGGGATGGCTTTTCCTGTGCTGTTCTCATGATAGTAAATAAGTTCTCATGAGATTTCAGGTTGGAAAGTAGTGCTCACAGCCAAGCACCAGCCTGTCTGCTCCCTCGCCGCACTGAACCCTGCCAGCCCCACCAGCTCCAGAGCCCCATCCCTGCACCAACACTGCTGCAAGAGTAAAACTAGGAAGGGAGAACAATGAACCTCCCCTACCCTGAGCAGCCACCCCCACCTGAGTGATCATGCACAGAGGGCAGACACAGACCTGCACCTGCCAGCACCAGACCCCCATGCTAACACCACCACCAGCATCACCATGGACACAGTCGCCAGCAGCAGGGGCCCTGTGTCCCTCAAAGCAATAATGCCTCTGCTGCCGCTGTGAATGCCTGCAGGGACGCAGGCACCTGCTAGCACCCTGCTGCAGTTGATGAGTGCGTACCCCACCGTGCTGCTGCTGCTGCTGCTGCTGCTAATATATGCAAACAAGGACAAATCCCACTGCTGCTGCCTTACGAAACACTTTGGCTAGTACCACCCACTGAAGTGTAATGACCAGTGGTCCAGGAATACGTAGGCCCCACCAGCACAGTGGGTTCCTACCCTCGACGAGTCAGAGAACAATGTTGGGGCTGGATACAAGTCCCCCAGATTTAGAGCATGAAGTCCAGAAGTTGGGAGCTGAGGTTTGGCCCCCTAAAATCTTCCAGAAATGAAGCCAGTTGACTGAACCCACCTTATACCACAATCAAACTCTCAAGGTCAACAAATAGGATAAAAGAAAAAAAAAATCCAAAGATCAGCAACATCAAAGATTGAAGGAACATAAGCCCACAAAGATGAGAAAGAATAAGCACAAGAACTCTAACAACTCAAAAAGCCAGAGTACCTTCTTTCCTCAAAATGACGGCACTACTTCTCCTGCAAGGGTTCTGAACTGGACTGAGAGGGCTGAAATTACAGAAATAGAATTCAGAATATGGATAGAAACAAAGGTTATTGAGATGCAGGAATATGTTGAAACCCAATCCAAGGAAGATCCAAATGATACAGGAGCTGAAAGACAAAATAGCCAGTACAGAAAAGAATGCAGCCGACCTGACAGAGCTGAAAACACACTACAACAATTTCATAATGCAACTGCAACTATTAATAGCAGAATAGATCAAGCTTAGGAAAGAATCCCAGAGCTTGGAGACTGGCTTCCTGAAGTAAGTCAGACAAGAATAAAGGAAAAAGAATGAAAAAGAATGAACAAAATCTCTGAGAAATATGAGATTAAGTAAAGAGAACAAATCCATTACTCATTGGTGTCCCTGAAACAGATGGGGAGACTGGAAGTAACCTGGAACACAGATTTCAAGATATCATCTACGAGAATCTCCCCAACCTAGCAAGAGAGGCCAACATTCAAATTCAGGAAATGCAGAGAACCCCAGTAAGATACTTCACAAGAAGATCATCCCCAAGACACATAATCATCAGATCCTCCAAGGTTGAAATAAAAGGAAAAATGTTAAAGGCAGCTAGAGAGGAAGGTCAGGTCACATACAAAGGGAAGCCCATAAGACTAACAGACCTCTTACCAGAAACCCTAAAGGCCAGAAGAGATTGGGGGTTAATATTCAATGTTCTTAAAGAAAAAAAATTCCAATCCAGAATTTCATATCTGGCCAAACTAAGCAAAAAAGAAATAAGACCCTTTTCAGACAAGCAAATGCTCAGGGAATTCTTAGCAGACCTGGCTTATAAAAGCTCTTAAAGGAAGCAGTGAATATGGAAAGGAAAGACCACTACCGACCACTACAAAAACACACTTAAGTACACAGACCAGTGATACTATAAAGCAACCACACAAAAAAGTCTGCATAATAACCAGCTAACCTCATGATGACATCCACATGCGAAAGAATAAAAACAGACTCTTATCTTTCACCATAAGCAAAAATCAACTCAAAATGGAGTAAAGGCTTAAATTTAAGACCAGAAACTGTGAAACTCCTAGAAGAAAACAGGAGAAATGCTTACAGACATTGGTCTGGGCAAAGATTTTTATGGATGAGGCCTCAAAAGCACAGACAACAAAACCAAAAAGTAGACAAATAGAATTATATCAAACAAAAACCTTCTACACAGCAAAAGAAACAATCAACAGAGTAAAGAAATAACCTGCAGAATGGGAGAAAATATTTACAAACTATGACAAAATATTAATATCAAGAATACACAAGGAACTCAAAAAACCCTGCAAGACAACCTAGGCAAAACCATTCTGGACATAGGAATAGGCAGATATTTCAGGATGCCAAAAGCAACTGCAACAAAAGCAAAAATTTACAAATGGGATCTAATTAAACTAAAGAACTTCACCACAGCAAAAGAAACTATCAACAGAGTAAACAGACAACCTACAAAATGGGAGAAAAGTTTGCAAATGATGCATCTGACAAACATCTAATATCAAACATCTGTAAGGTATTTAAATAAATTTACAAGAAAAAAAACTAACCCAATTAAAAAGTGGGTAAAGGACCTGAACAGACACTTCTCAAAAGGAGACATACATGCACCCAACTAACATGAAAAAAAGCTCAACATCACTGATCATTAGAGAAATGCAAATCAAAACCACGATGAGATAACATCACACACTAGTCAGAATGGAAAAATCCAAAAAATAACAGGTGCTGGCAAGATTGCAGACAAAAGGGAATGCTTACATACTGTTGGCGGAAGTATAAGTTAGTTCAACCATTGTTAAAAACAGTGTGGTGATTCCTCAAATACTTAAAAAAGAACTACCATTCAACACAGCAACCCCATTACTGGGTATATGCCCAAAGGAATATAAATCATTCTATCTTAAAGACACTTGTAAGTATATGTTCCTTGCAGCACTATTCAAAATAGCAAAGACATGGAGTCAACCTAAATGCCTGTCATTGATAGACTGTATAAAGAAAATGCAGTAGATATCCACCATAGAATACTATACAGCCATAAAAAAGAAGGAGATCATGTCCTTTGTGGGAACATGGATGGAGCTGGAGACCATTATCCTTAGCAAACTAATGCAAGAACAGAAAACCAAATATGACATGTTCTCACTGATAAGTAGGAGAAAAATGATGAGAACACATGGACACATAGAGGGGAACAATAGACACTGTGGCCTACAAGAGGATGGAGGGTGGGAGGGGACAGAGGATCAGGAAAAAGAACTAATAGATACTAGTTGTAATACCTGGGTGATGAAAAAATCTGTACTACAAACTCTCATGACACAAGTGTAACTATGTAACAAACTTGCATATGTATCCATGAACTTCAAAGTTAAAAGAAAATACAAGAAGTTATCACGATTAGCAAGACAATGAAAATCTAAGCATCATAATTGTCTCTATTATTCTGGTCATCTCACATGTAATCAAATAGTCATAAAATTACATTAAATTTAATTATAAATTGTGAAGCCTATTTTACATTTTTACTTATGAGGGAAAAATATTAACAAAACTTGTATCATTGGGGAAATGTTATTTCTGTTGCCATTTAATGGCTCAAGTGATACATAGAAAACAGTACAAAAACAAAAAAGGATACCTCATTGTCAACACATTTTGTTGGAAGACACAAGGAAAGCAATGCTGAAGTATGAGAAGTAATTATACAGTGTGGAGGTTTGCTACACATTTAGGTAAAAGTACAGATGGCTCGAACATGTCATCTTTTGGTATTTGCTAGATTCTTCTTCAACAATAAAATCTGAAGAAAATAGTTGTCTGTGAAGAATCAAAGAAAAAAATGTATGTTTTCAACATGATTGCTTCTTCAATTAAAAAAAAAAGTATTTGCACGGAGTGGATACTTTTGACTGGAATGAAAATACAATTCTGAAAAGATAGCACCACCACTTCTGAATGCCAGAAAGCATATGTGCTTCTAAAGACACTGTCTACTCAATGCAAAACTTGTTGTGGGATCTGCTCGTTTTTCCTCCCTGACTTTCCCCATGTCAAATTATAGACTTGATAACCCAAGAACTCCCAGTGTCAATTTTCACCCATCACTATCATTCAGTATTTTGTAAGATCTTTTAACAAATGTGGTGTTAGTCTAACATCTCTGCTTTCAGACAGCAAGATTTACTTGGAGAGTTGGATACACCATAAAAGAAATGCTAATTAAGAGCAACATCTTATTGGTTAAAAATGTAGTCTTCCAAATAGAATAGAAAGCCCAGAAATAAACCACGCATACACGGCCAAATGATCTTCTAAAAGGAGGCCAAGATAACTCAGTGGGGAAAAGGACAATCTCTTCAACAAATTATGTTGAGAAAACTGGATTTTCACATGTAAAAGAATGAAGTTGGACCTTTTATCTTACACCACACACAAAAATTAACTCAAAATGAATTAAAGACCTTAACATAAAAAAAAAAAAAAAATGTAAAACTCCTGGAAGAAAACACAGGGAAAAAGCTTCAGGTCATTGAACTTGGTGGTGATTTCTTGGACATGACACCAAATGCAGAGAAACAAAAGAAAAAACAGACTAACAGGGCCACATCAAACTTAAAAACTTCCTGCATCAAAGCACATAATCAACAGAGTGAAGAGACAACCTACAAAATGGGAGAAGATATTTGCAAACCATATATCTGACAAAAGGTTAATATGTAGAATATATAGAGAACACCTGCAACTCAACAAGAAGAAGAAACACAATTTACAAATAAGCAAAAGGCTTGAATAGATATTTCTTCAAAGCTAATACATCATCAGAGAAATGCAAATCAAAACCACAAAGAAATATCACTGCACCATTAAAGTGGCTAAATTTAAAAAAAACAAGGATGAAAAAGATGTGGAGATATTGGAACACTAGTGTTTGTTGGTAGGACTGCAAAGTGGTGCAACTGCTACAGAAAACTGTATGGGGTGTCTGAGAAAGTTAAACATAGAACTATTGTATGATCCAGTAATCCAACTTCTGGGTATATATCCCAAAGAATTGAATGCAGGGTCTTGAAGAGATATTTGCACACCCAAGTTTACAACAGCACTAGTCATAATAGCTAAGAGGTGGAAGTAATCCAAATGTTCATTGATGAATGACTGGATAAACAAAATGCAGTGTATATATACAATGGAATATTATCCAGCCTTAAAAAGGAAATCTTGTCACATGCTACAACATGGATGAACCTTGAGCGCAATACATTAAGTGAAATAAGGAAGTCACCAAATGCAAACATCATATGATTCCACTCTTATGAGGTAACTACAGTAGTCAGATTCAGAGACAGAAAGTAGAATGGTGGTTACCAGGGGATGTAGGGAGAGGAAAAAGGGAAGTTGTTGTTTAATGGCTATATAACTCCAGATTTGCAAATGAAAAAGTTATGAAGATTTGTTTCACAACAATATGACCACATTAACACTACTGAATTGTACACTTAAAATGGTTAAGATGGTAAATTTTGTGGTTTTTTTAACCACACTTTTAAAAAATATAGCTTTCCAAAGCTACAGTTATTGACAATCCACTACTCTGAAATACCTTAATGGAAAATTTCAAATTTATAAAAAAGCAAATAGTATAATGACTCTTGAAGTATTCATCACTTAGCCTCAACAACTGTCAAGTCATGACCAATCCATTTCATCCATACCACCACTCTCAGATTATTTGAAGGGAAACTGAACACATATATCACTACACGCATAGATATTTTAGTACCATGTTCTGTTTTTATTTCATTGAAGTTTACAGCTTTGATTCAGAAGCAACAAATTAAAATTCTGAATCTACCTTCACATAAACAGATCCAAAGACAAAAACCACATGATTATCTCAACAGATGCAGAAAATGCCTTCAACAAAATTCAACAGCCCTTCACGCTAAAAAAAAAAAAAAAGCTGTAAACCTCAATTGTGGGGCTTACTGCTGATGTTAGACTGTTATGTAATCTTCTGCGTCAGGAGTGTTTGGATTCCAGATTTGTATTCGATAGACCACTGCCTGTGTCTCGTCTTGTATCTCTAATTGGAAGCAAGACGCAGATACAAACACAACGATATGGCCGGAGACCATATGGTGTTGGGCTGCTTATTGCCGGTTATGATGATATGGGCCCTCACATTTTCCAAACCTGTCCATCTGCTAACTATTTTGACTGCAGAGCCATGTCCATTGGAGCCCGTTCCCAATCAGCTCCTACTTACTTGGAGAGATATATGTCTGAATTTATGGAGTGCAATTTAAATGAACTAGTTAAACATGGTCTGTGTGCCTTAAGAGCGACACTTCCTGCAGAATAGGACCTAAACTACAAAGAATGTTTCCATTGGAATTATTGGTAAAGACTTGGAGTTTACAATCTATGATGATGATGATGTGTCTCCATTCCTCGAAGGTCTTGAAGAAAGGCCACAGAGAAAGGCACAGCCTGCTCAACCTGCTGATGAACCTGCAGAAAAGACTGATGAACCAATGGAACATTAAGTGATAAGCCAGTCTATATATGTATTATCAAATATGTAAGAATACAGGCACCACATACTGATGACAATAATCTATACTTTGAACCAAAAGTTCAGAGTGCTGGAATGCTATGTTTTAGGAATGAGTCCAGATGTGAGTTTTTTCCAAGCAACCTCACTGAAACCTATATAATGGAATACATTTTTCTTTGAGAGGGTCTGTATAATCATTTTCTAGAAAGTATGGGTATCTATACTAATGTTTTTATATGAAGAAAATAGGTGTCTTTGTGGTTTTAAGGGACAACTGGGGTGGATATAAAATTTTGTTTGTCACTGCCATGGAAAAAAACAAAACCAATAAAACAAACAAACAAAAACCCTCTCACTTAACTGAGGTAGTGCGAATCGGAACGGTTTAATTAATCCTCTTTGGAAAAATAAGAGCTATGTTTATGACAACCGCCCACAGCCAAATCATACTGGAATGGCAAAAATGAAGCATTCCTGTTAAAACTAGCCAAAGGACAGGATGCCCTCTCTCACGCACTTCATTCAAATAGTGTTGGAAGTTCCTGGGCCAAAGCAATCAAGACAAGAGAAAAAAATAAACGTTATTCAATTACGAAAAGAGGAAGCTCAAATTTTTCCCTGTTTGCAGATACAAATGTATGTATAGTTACAAAAACCCATCGTCCTTCAACGCCCACAAATCTTGCCTTAAGCTGATAAGGGCAACCTTCAGCAAAGTCCAGAGATACAAATCACTGTGCAAAATCACAAGCATCCCTCCTGATTCACACCCCATAACAGACAAATAGAGTGGCAATCATGAGTGAACTCACTTCACAATTGATACAAAGAATAAAATCCCTAGGATTTCCCAACTTACAAGGATGTGAAGGACCTCTTTTTCAAAGAGAACTACAACCACTCTGCTCAACAATAAAAAGAGGCAACATAAACAAATGGAAGAACATTCCATGCTCATGGGTAGGAAGAATCAATATCATGAAAAATGGTCATACTGCCCAAAGTAATTTACAGATTCAATGCCCTCACCATCAAGCTACCAAGGACTTTCTTCACAGAATTGGAAAACACTACTTTAAAGTTCATATGAAATCAAAACCATCTGATCTTTGATATACCTGACAAAAACAAGAAATGGGGAAAGGATCCCCTATTTAATAAAATGGTGCTGGGAAAACTGGCTAGCCATATATAGAAAGCTGAAACTGGATCCCTTCCTTACACCTTATACAAAAATTAATTCAAGATGGATTAAAGCCTTAAATGTTAGACCTAAACCCATAAAACCCTAGAAGAAAACCTATGCAACACCATTCAGGACATAGGCATGGGCGAGGACTTCAATGGAATACATTTTTCTTTGAGAGGGTCTGTATAATCATTTTCTAGAAAGTATGGGTATCTATACTAATGTTTTTATATGAAGAAAATAGGTGTCTTTGTGGTTTTAAAGACAACTGTGAAATAAAATTGTTTCACTGCCTGGTGAAAAAAAACAAAACCAAATAAAACAAAACAAAACAAAAAACTCTCACTAAACTAGGTAGTGATGGAACGTATCTTGAAATAATAAGAGCTATTTATGACAAACCCACAGCCAATATCATA